ACGGTGTGTTCCGGATCGGTGTAAGCGTCGCTGATGACGATTGGTGCATAGGTTTTGTGCCCGGGTTATTGGCCATTGATGTCTGGTGGTCACGCTTCAACGAAGTGAACACCACGGAAGCTCTCCCCCCGATGATGCTAAAAGACATCATCTTCGCAATGTAAGTAACATGTTGATGACGATGTAATGCATCACTGGCAAGTGGCACCCATTGCACTTCTCACTCATCTGTCGGTCATAAGACCATATGCGTCTACACGTTGCGGGCACGCACATGAAGCTACGAACGGCAAAAATGACGTAGTTTAAGCAAGGGCAGCGAAATTTTCCACTCTTCAGCATTGAACACGGGACCTACCGGCAATGAGCCCGACCCACACACTCCACGGCTAGCTGTAATCACAACCCCTGATCACGCCTGGGGTGTCGGAGAAAGCAGGCAGCAGGGGCCGGCTCGACAAACATCTTGCGATAAATCATGGTTTTTGTGCTCGGTTGAGGTGAGTGAGGTGAGTAGAAGGCTCCTTCAGCACAGTCCAGGTCACTGGAGGAAAGGCTGCTTCATTCCAGTGGTAGACGCTGTGGAAATGTCAACTAAGCACGTACCACAAAGACAACTTTCGTTTGCAGTCCCTGCATGGAAGAAAATGGTGAAAACGGAAGTCAATGTGCTGCTAATTTGTAAAGTTCCAAGAAATGACACCGAATGATCGTGTTCCTCTCCCTTGCATGGACTGCTGAGAGCAGGGGGTGGGGGGGGGGAGAGGGGGGGGGGCGGGGTCAAACGTAAAGTCCAGTGGAGAGCCATACTGCAGCATCAATGCCATGAAAGCAGGCTGCTGTAGTTCTCGCACTGAGACAGGGCGCGAAATCAAAATGCAAACGAACATAAACTCCAAGCTGCAGAGTTCTCCAACATGCAAAGTGGCGATGATGCACGGACTCGGCCAGAGCAGCCACCCTGATGGGTCCCGGCTGGCTGCAGGGCCGCAGTGAAGATTGCCTTAGAGGGAGAGGGAGGGAGAGGAACTCGACGAGGAGGCATCGCACCGATTTTTCACTTTCTGTCAGAAGCCATCTATGACGAAAAAGCGGAGCCGGAGGAATGGCGGGAGGGGAGGGGGAGGGAGGGTAGGGGAGGGAAGGGGAGGCTGCGCCCGCGGCTGGCGGCGCTGTGGGAGCCCCTGCAGCGCGCCGTCTGTTTGTGTGACCTGACCGCGCAGGCAGGCCGCCGGCCACATCATCCTTGCAGCGCAGTAGACGCGCTGTCACCGAGGCCCGGATGGGGACACGCGGCTCCCGGGGGGAGGGGGAGGGGAGGGAAGGGGCGCGGCTGGGGACACGTGGCCTCACTGCGGGGAGGGAGGGGATACGATTGGGGACACGCGGCGTCACGGGGGCGGGCTGGGGACACGCGGCGTCACCGGGGCCGGACTGGGGACACGTGGCCTCACTGCGGGGAGGGTGGGGGGGGGGGGGGGGGGGTGGGGGGGGGGAGGGAGGGAATGCGACTGTGGACACGCGGCGTCACCGGGGCTGGGGACACGCGGAGTCACCGCGGCCGGACTGGGGGTACGCGGCGTCACCGTGGCCGGACTGGGGGTGCGCGGCGTCACCGGTGCCGGACTGGGTAAGCGGCGTCCGGGGGAGGGGCAGGGGTGCGGCTGTGAACACTCGGCGTCACGGGGGTGGGGAGGGGACGGGCGGCGGCCGGGGACAGATGCGGCCCAGAGGCGTGCCGGTGCAAGATTGCACGGAAGCGACGCGGCAGCTGTGGTTCTGTGCATCGTTGGGATCCATGCATGGATCACGTACGGTCTCGACCGCGTCGAGTCGAGGACATGGGATTTTACTGCTGTTCAGTAACTGGTGAATACGGGACTTCGAAAGTGCAGTGTTGGGCACAGAGTGATCAGCATCTATCAACTCTGCAATGTCAGTTTTGTTTATTCCCCGACTGTCACGTACCTGATGCCTCTCTGATACACATCCAAAGCACCAGAGATAACGTTTCCCTGCAGGCACTTGTTAATAAGGGAGGACTCAGCTGCAGATGGGCCAGCGCCACGAGAGCAGGGTTCTGGTGCTAGCCTGTTGACCTCAAGTGCACCGGCAGGTACTGGTGTAGCAGGTACTGTACAGTACACCAGCAGATACTGGCTCAACAACTTGTGATGATAAGCCTAGTTTGAAACGTCAAGTGCTATCCATGCAACCAATGTTTGCACTTACACATCGCTTAACCAACATGTCAAAGGTCTATGCTCAGCATAAGAACACTGAACTCAGAGTTTCTTATAGGCCGCTTTGTTTTGTATCCACCAGCATGCAAGTGGAACATGCTTTTTGTATGCACGAGACACACGCTCGGCATTATGCAAAAGATGGTCCGTCCGATAATGGTGTTTTTATGTTTGTATGCAAATGCAAAATGTTTTGTGTTGCATGCAAAATGCTGAGATTTTGGTATGCGAAAGACGGTCCCCCCGAGTCCATGTCTTCGGAATACTCATACTCAAAGCACTCCCAAAGCATCCTGGGGTCCGCGGACCATGCCAAAAACAGCACCCCGGAGCCCACATGTGGCGACAGAATGCGTCCAAAGGCGTTCTCGGCACTCACTTCACTACGTCGGTGCCAGAGACTGAACTCCTGCGCATCCGGGCGCGATGTCAGAGACAGGAGACGCGTAGCTCCGCAAGCAGCGCTCCACGCGCGGCGTCCCAGAATTGACCGCGTTGGGGGGGGGGGGGGGCAACCTCCCGCTGCCAAATATCGAAACATCTCCCCCCCCATGCGATGCATCCGCCGGATGGGGGGGGGGGGGGGCTCGCCAGCTGCTATCGTCGGCCAACTCGGAATTAATTGCCGCGACGAAGACAATGTTGTCGCGCGGATTCCGCAGTGGAGGTGCAAACTCTGCGCACGCCGTGGACAAGCAACCTCTGTGTTGTCCTGAGTCGTTTCTGAAAGGATGCCTTTCACAGAATAAGGCAAGTTCAGTGAAAATGGAATGAAAATCAAGGTTGCGGGTAATGTTGAGGTTGCCGCTTGGTACATCCTTATTTCAGCTGGTTCGCGGCTAGTTGGCAGCTTTCATGAATTCAGTGAATTTTCGTCATGTAAAAAAGGCGACGCTGGTACTGAAGACCAAACAGAACAGTCGAAGTCGAGCAAACATTTGCGAGCTAACCCATGGAATACAAGAAGCTAGTGGCGAACCCGGGATACAACTTAGAATGTCACGGGGGTAGGTTTTGACTGGAGCGCATGGTAACTAAATGTCCGTAAGAAATTGCAACAAAAAAAAACCAACAGTACAACAAATGGCCTAGTTCTTTACCACTCTACAACCCCATGTCTCCACTGTGTTCCCTCTGATCCTCTCTGAATGGAGGGACCTGATAAAACCAAGAGAGGAGGCGCGATAAGAAAGAAGGCAGACATAAGTGAAGAATCGACGCAAAGGAGCACCGTGAAGGCTCAGCGGTGAATGGGAAGCAACCAAGGTACAAGCAGCACAGACAATTTCCATCGGGGTAAGAAGGAGCCATCGATAGGGGTCACACGGTGAAAAGCCAGGCGAAAAAGATTGTAAAGACACTACCACGTTTGACACCGGTAATACTTGCGTTAATCCGTTCTTTTAACAAGGTCATTGACTTCTGACGAGATTCGTGGCTGGCGATACAGTTTCACAATGTAAGTGAAGGGGTGTTGTTTTTAAACCTTTTCCTGTTCGATCGCCCGCTGACCAGTGTAGGCTTGTCAGGCTTGAGGATAGACGCCAGTCGGCGTTGGGCCGATAAAACATATTTTTATTATTCTATTTACGTCAGGCAGACGGGCGGGCGGGATGGGGAAGGTGGTGAATGGTGGCAGTATGTCGAGTGGTCACACCATGCTCTAGCGTTCGGATCCATACGCGGACACTGAACGCTGAAGAATAAAAAGGAAGAGGTCAGCGTTTGTCTATAAATATAGCCAAATTCGTCTGATTTAAATACAAGCGAATAGCTTAAAGGGAATGCGCCACATCTGAAGACAATGAAAATCATGACATATGATCAACTAATCTCACGTACAATTCTTCGTTTATTTTTTAGTGGAAAAGTCTGCCCTAGACAGCACAATTTTCTGCTAAGTAAACAAGTTGCTCAATACGCCATTGTTCGATCACGTCATCGTACCTTGCACTACGCTGATTGCAAGCCAATTGACGGCCGTGATATCTGGAAATCTCGCTGACGAACGCCGGGTATAACATCGTATCGTGCTGTAGGTATACACCCTCGACAAATATATTTTTCGTAGCCTTCATCGCCGCATGGCTTATGGTATGACAGGACTTCAGTGACGTTATTGTGACGTCATGGATGCCAAAATGACTTTGAAATACCCTCGCCGAAATATTTTGTACTTTATAATACTACACTTTCGCGGGCGTGTAGCTCAGAAACTAGAGGGGCTTATATTTCAAGGCAGGCATAGTCGTGAACTGCACCAAAAGGTCTTCTAGATGGCTTTTCTAATTTAAAATTCCGTACGAATGTGGAAACACCTGCTTACTCCTTCAAGGCTTGATATTCCGAAGTGAGCTAAAAGCGACCTTACATCGGACACTGTCTCCGCGCGCCTGCTGTTCAGGCTCACATTGCATTATCATGCAGAGAAAGCAATAGGGCGGTACAGTGGGCATACATCACTACAAAATGGATATAAACCACGCACCTTCAGGCATTTCCTTGCAAAGAAAGGCGAGAGAAATCGCAGCGACAAATCATCGCTGCATCAGCCTTGGTGAATTACCCGTAATTGCAGCGTGTTGTGCTGCAACGTTGACCACTTCAGCCAGCGGCGCACATAGTCACGCCCCCCCCCCCCCTCCGTCCTCCCCCCCCCCGTCCTCCCCCCCCCCGGGCGGTGGCATGCGGCCCGTTTCCCTGTCGACAGCGCCGGGTCAGCCCCCTCCGTTCCCCTCCCCCTCCAGTCGACCCTACCTTGCAGACTGTGACCGGAAAGCCGGCGTCACAGCCTCCGGCGATCTCGAAGCCCCACGGCACGCTGAGATCGTTACGCTGCAGCAGGATGCTCAGGTACTTCATGGCGGCGGGTCGGTTGGCTGGTTGGCTGGTTAGCTGGTTGGCGGTTGCTCGGTCGGGAGGTCGTCGCCGGGTTTGTTTTGAGTCGGCCGCGTCCGCAAGCTCGTCGCCGGTCCAAACGCACGACAACGGTCGTCGGGTTGCGCCGAGCTGCGAAGCGTCGATGCGAAGCGCTGCGAGGCGCTGCGAGGCACCGGCGGCTCAGCGACACGGCCCTCGCGCTCGCCTTCTCACCGCCTCGCACCACCGCCGCGCCACTTCTCACAGGGAGACACCCGCACCCTCACCGCACACCCAGCCACTGTCGTGCTGCCGGACGTGGTACCCCGCCGCTCCTTGCGGGCTGGGCGGCGCACACTAGCGCCACGCTCGGCAGGTGGCCGAACTACTCTGAGTCGTGGAGCCGCGGAGGCCGCGGGCCCGGCGCTGGGTCACGATTCACGCCACGCCAGGTGGTGCGCGTTGTGAAAGAAAAGAAACGCCGTGACTGAGACTCTTATCGGAAGGCCCATGACTTCGTTCGCAGCAAGCGTGTTTCTTTCCGTGCGCTTATTGTGACCAGTCTGATCATGCATCATGCGTTTACAGAACATTTATAAACCTGCAGGTTGATTTCTCCACACGGCGTGTTATATTACTTCTATCGCGTCATCATAACTGTGGCGCTAATGGGGCTTTGTACGAGAAACATTGCCTATCCAGTCACATTTTAAATCTGTTTTCCATCGCCTCAAGTGCAAGGTTTGTTGGCGAACGAGCCCAGGCGAGCGCCCGTCTTTAAAACACCAGCGATCGGGCTCGTTTTCAGGGGAGACAGAGCAAACGAGCCCCTCGCTTGTGAGATTGGTACGCATGCTAATCTTCACATAAAATAATGCACGAATTAAGATTCCAACGTTCTAAAAACAACCGCAAACACGTTCAAACGTGTACGTTAGATGTGGTTAGGCGTGCGTTGTGATTTTTAAAAAATCTGATTCATAGAGCCTCCGTAGATCATTATCTGTTTGAGTTGGGTGTTGCTTTTTAGACGAAGAGTTTCTTATTTAGTGTTGGTATTTAGTTTGGTGGGAAATTGTGTTACGGCTCTTCAAGGAATTCTATAGATGCGTTCAACGCATATGTAAATAAGCATCTTCTTCCAGCGCATTATTTCAAATACTGATGGTAACAATTTCTCAATGGATGTAAGAATTCACAGTAAACAATGTCGCATTTTTCATCGGAAAGTTATCAGGTTCCTTGCAACTTCACCAAAAATACTACAGCATGCCTAAAATATCATGCATGCTGTGCGCTTTCGTCGGAGAGAGCTTATGTCCACGTGTTCAAAACGGTTCGTACGGAAAGCACCTTCAGCATATTGCTCTGTTCAGTTACATAATCAGCATGCACCATACCAGGGGAGTTACGTGGCTGCAGCCCAAGCACCATCGAATACAAAACCTAATTGTCTGGAATTAAAATCGAGTTAGTGGGCTAAGTTAGACACTGCGACATATCTGCATCGCGCATGAAAAAAAACGTTCGACACCGCATGCCATTTTCCGGATATTACGCAACAAGTACAGGAATAAAACTCTTACGCTCATCACCTAACGCAGTAAAACCATTACAGATTGCAGACGTAAATCACGAAATGGCTCTTGTAATTAGCCATTCGGCTGCGGGCAACGTACCCCCGCCGCTGTGTTGAGCAGAAGCGCCCGAGGACATGCTGGCAGCTGGAAGAGAACAGGTTTTGCAGGGAAATGGGCTTCAGTGGACCGGCTCGCCGGATTTGCATCCGGGCGAAATTGGCGGAATGTGCGGGGAGCATGACTCGCTGTTCGCTGCGGCGACTGTCGTGGGCTCATGCTACGTGGCTTTAAGCTTTCCAGCTGTCTATTTGGAAAAAGTGGCAAACGTGCGTTGGTTTAGGATTTCGTTGGCAGTTCGTAAGGCTTGACCAACTGACGTCAGATTTGCAATGTCTGCTGTCTGCAATTTGTAAAGCCAGGAGTCCACCAGCATCAGCAATAGCAGGAAACCATGGCAGATTCGCCGCGCCCGCGCCGGGAGCGAAAAGCGTTTATCCGCGCCTGGGCCGTCACAGCAAACGTCAAAACCGAGAGATGGGTACCTATTTAATGCATAGGTGGGGTACCAGCGATCACTGCAAACGCGCACTGCATCATCTCTGGAGATCTCTCCACAGATGACAAGGAGAAGTGCACTATGGTGTGCAAAATGCTTAAGCTAATGTTTTCCAAAGACCTGGAAGATGACCTGAAGACCTGAAAACAAGATCTGGAAAAATGTCGGGAGACCCGACCTCTCCCTCTCGGTTGCCCCAGCCCGCGCTGCACACACTGGCCTCGCAACATCTCAGCCATCAGCGCAATGCATCGTCCGAGCATGCGCATGTCTTCCGGCCTCGTCATCAGAGCTCAGACTCGTGTGTTCTTTGGTGCTCTTCCAACTGGCGCCCGGCAATGCCGGCGCCCTCGCGGCTTTGCTGCTAATCGTGCACGTCTCAGACGGGCTTTGTAATGGGCTGTTAGCTGCGTTTAAGTGTCTTACGACAACTGCATGTGGCGAATGCAATCTGGCTGCACAAAGACCTGAATGCAGGATCTTTGGATGCGGATGTTGGCACGGTGCCAGCAAACACTCCCATTACACCAGCACTAGTGCACAGCAACTGCACACAAATGGCCATGCTGAACGTATCGTCAACCCGGCGCGTTGCACCCTTTGAGCGACCCAGCGTCCCATGTCCATGACGTCATCCTTCATTGCTGCCACATGGCTGTCGCGTTTGACCTCAGCGCATGGCGGGCATGTGAGCGTACGTTCCAAAACAGCGCCGCCGTGTCATGGGTCAAAGCTTGCCAATCGACAACTGGGCGGGAAGGTCAGGCTAACATGAAACGGTAGTGGTATGCCGAAATATTCTTGCGAAGCACAAACTGACCACTGAGCCAGAATTTCTCTGGTAGAATGGTTGGATCAGGCTTCTCGCAACACGGAGACTTATCGATGGCTGCGACCCCACGGGGCCACACCAGCCAAACATCCAGCACATACTGAAAAGCGCGTTGCTGCGCCCGCTGATCGGGCCCAAGGAACCCACTGTCAGGTAGCAGAAACTCAATGCAGCACCATACCATCGCTCATTGCACCTAATGCCCAGGCGGTCAGGCTGACAAGGCGCCGGCATTGGCAGCGACTGCTCAGGGCGGCTGCATTCACCGCCGCCGGCTTATCGCGAATAAGCAGGACCGTGCGCTATCTATTGTGAATCTGATCGGGACTAGCGATCGATAGCGACCTTGTCTGTCCTCGACAGTGCAGGGTGCAAAAGGTCAGGGACTTGGTCGCCGAAGCCCCGGCCCCACCGCCGTCAGCTGCGCCACTGCGCGTCCGTCAGAACCGAGAGCACGCGACCCATTACGTTGTGGAGTAGAATGGACGCACTTGGATGTCACGGCTGCTGAATGGGCCGATTGCAAACAAGACATGAGTGACTCGAGTGCCTTCGTGTCGTTAGCTTTCGCGGAATGACAATATAGCAAAAGCAGAAGCAACCCTCCAGGCTGTTGAGGCGGTCTGACTCGTTTCTCTTCATGCTTTGCGCCGAGAAATGGCAACTTGTAATACCAAAGTAAAACTTCAAGTCGTTATCGCCTAGCGCACGTGACCCCATCGCCTTGAAAAAGTGCGATTTTTTCCAAGCGCCGGTAGAACACGTGTTGCCGCCTCGTACGTTTTGAGAGATCGATCACGATCCCATGCGTTCTCTAAAAACGAACGTTTGTTCAGCATCGGAATACTCCGTAGGTCTCTGAGTGGCAGAAAACAATACCCGATCGCGAAATGGTTGGATGGCTGCAGCTATATTTTAAATGAGTTTGAGGTAAGGGAGAGTTGCTGTCCGATGGAGGAGAGAGAGAGAGAGTGAGGGTGAGAAAAAGAGAGTGTGTGTGTGAGAGAGAGAGAGAGAGTGTGTGCGAGAGAGAGAGAGAGAGAGAGAGAGAGGAGAGAGGAGGAGAGAGAGAGAGGAAGAGAGAGAGAGAGAGACGCACTTGTGTTTAGAAAATGAGTTGGATTACAGCGCACAAATGTGTTTATTACTCGTACAAATATTATCTCACGTATTGCACCCGTATTATTGTGATCATTGTACGATTGTGATTTCAAGTATTATACAGACATTGTTTCACGTACCGTGCAAGCATTATTCTACCGAATGCTTTGACTCGGGGAGGAGTGTGTAGACTTATTCGAAGGGCGAGCAGACACTTCTCCATTAAGCCGCTGTCGGATAAGCGGCCTCTGCAAGGTTGGGAGTTTCCCTCAGTCTCAGCGATCTGTCCCGCATAAGTTGTCACGTGGTACTTGCGCTGTTGCTGCGCGCTCCATTCAGGTGCTCCTTTTGCGGAGAACGGGGAAGGGGTCCTGAGATCTTGTTGGAGTTCCCAAGACCAAAGGGCCTTCCAATGCGCTCCGGTCCTAATTATGGTTGTGGCTGTTCGTAACGCATTACGTATTGTGCGTACATATGTGTCGTAAGGAAAGCAAATATGGTAAAACCCCCTAGGTTTTTCCACACACAGTCAGCTCTCACTTTTCTAAGACGCAGAAGAATATCCGTTTTTGGAAACGAAAGCACGTGACTTTTGATTACTTCCGTCACCTGCGCATAGAAGGCATTGAAGCTGTATGACAGAATGCGCTCGCGGAGGTTGAGAAAGAACATAAAAATACCGCGTACATTATCTAAATATTTGTAATGAGCTATGTTTTTGATCGGAAGGGACCGCGATCAGTCGAGACAGTGACCTGCTCCGCGTCATGCTAGGCACCTCCCACTTAGAGGAGATCTCCTGCCGAACCTCGGGTTCGACCCCCCCCCCCCCCCCCCCCCCAATGTGCCTGGGCCTCCTCTTAGTAGGTCAGCGGCCTCCCCCGGCTCTCCACCACACGTGATCACCGGCCGTTACAGAATGTGGGGCCTCTTCTCGTTTATGAGTGGACCTCCATTTCAAAGTCAGTGAGATTGACTGTGTGTGTGCGGTGAGACAATGTGTGTGCGAATAAGCCCCCTTCTGTAGGGCTGAAGATGGCTTGCAGGGTAGCGCTTCTGTAGGGCCTCTCGGCTACCAGATATACTACCTTCGTATTTTGGGTCTTAACCACTTGTGATGCTTCCGTTTTTCGGCCTTTTCTCATTCGTGATAGGGGTCTCTCAGCAGCGCAATCGTGATAGGGGTCTCTCAGCAGCGCATTCGTGATAGGGG